AAAAGGAATCAGTAATCGACAATTTTCAAGGACCAATAGATTTTAAGTTAACTAGTCTGATGCTCAAAATATGCAACGGATGGTATCGCGTATTACTATACCAAAATTAATTGTCGATCATTGGATCTGCATGACTGCGGAGGAAGATTTTACCATGTGACTTACTTATCTGATTCATCAGATCAGCGCGCCGTAACAATATGTGGGTTTTGCCATATTACACACAAACTGTTTTTCCACTTCATTTGAATGAAATGATACAGGATCTGGAAAACTTCGCAGTAAGCGGTGGATACAGTTTACAATGCAGGTTGTTTCTGGGCCAAGCTCCATTGCAAATTGAGACTCATGACTTCCACCCCATATCTGAACAAAACACTTATTTGTAGAGATACGTTGTCGTTTGTGTTGTTGTGGCAGCAAGTTTTCTTGAAAAACACAGCAGGGATACAACTCAGCATCAAACCCAAAAACTGCAAAGGAAATTTGGCGGTAACGTCGGATTGTTTCCACTGTTTTTTGTGTGAGACAGCTAGAGCAAAGCTGCTGGAGCTTTGATTCATATGCAGGGCCTTTTACCAGGTAATCCTTCAGAATATCATCATTTGCTGAAACAGGAACTCCAGGTTCAGGGAACTCATGCCAAGCCTTTTTGCCACCAAATCCCATATACATTGACAAATATAGATGTCGGGGAGCCTGTTCTATTCCTGCAAATGCTGATGACAATTTTGTTGTTGCAGAAGTCTTGTATTCTGGATCTTTCGCACGATTATGATAATTCTTCACCTGTATCAGCAAGTAGGTGATATTTTGCTCCTGAAGTATGTACTGGTCATTTTCATTAGGAAGTAGTATAATAATGATAAGATCACAACCTGGCTGTCCCCGACGACAACAAACAGCTGCACCACGAGCAAACAATAGAAGCATCTCTGCAATATTTGGAATTCTGTCAACATAGACAAAATGTGTGAATGCAATCTTGCCAATTGCGACAACATCCATCAGCTTGGTCTTCTTTGATAATTTCAAACTGCGTTCTGCTACACTCTTTGCAACAGATGGGGCAAACAAAGCTTGTAGAAAGTCCTTCAAAAACATTGGTGTAGACATAAAAGGAACTGAATCATTACCCAATGGGGTATTAATATGACGTGCAACCTTGTCTCGGGCTAGTATGGCTAAGGCCTGTGTGGAAATCTCTCCTCCTTGACCAGCATCTATGCAGCCAGTTGTTATAGCCTTGATGAGGTGACTTAACAACTGCTTCAAAACTCTTTGCTTTGACATCCATCTTGCACCAGCATCTGCAATGACTGCCTCTGATGGCATGGATGAGTTCACCAGCCAGCGGTCCTCAGATATGTACAGGCACCAAGAGAGATAGCCTGCAACAAGTTCTGATGACATATCAGATCTATATACTTGGAATGGAAAGCGACTGCGTAAAATACTTAGTGCTTCAAGTTCATGAAACAGCTCAGGATTATCATCATTCCAAAGTTTGAGGTAACGTTCTCCACCACCAACAAGCTTTGATGCAGCAAGCCTGCGAATTCCTTCATGTGTTTCACGACCAATCAATGATGACCATAATGGTCTACCATATCGAAATAGTACAGCTGGAACAAAGACTTCATCCAAAGTGTGGTTGGAAATTTCTTGAATATCCACATCCACACATGCTAGCAGATATAATGGCTGATACAACTTCCTTCCACCACCTACAACATGCTCTGAAGGATCCAGTCCCACTGGCAGTGCGAGGTTAGAGATTCTTGATGTGGTATCTAAAAATACAGAAAAAACTCCTGATAATCTGGGTAACCAACGGAGAGCACAGCGCAGGCAGATAAATGGAGATGCTGCAACCTGCAAAGACCCCACTTCCATCAACCTGTGCATTTTTTGAGTGTGTCTCATCAGCATGCTCTGGTATCCCTGCAGGAGCTAACTGTAGTATTTTGGATTTTCTAGCATCACTGGTTAATTGTTGAACTTCATCGAACACAAATAGAACACGGAGAGGACAGGATAAAACTCATTCCTTTCTGGTTGTTTTGTCAAAAAATCCTGAGATGAATACTGCTGTTCAATATTTGCATATCTTGTATAGTATCCCATTACTTCAGCAATACAAGTATGAGTAATTGGCTGTGATGAATCAGGTTGGAGTTCCTCAGAAACTTGCTCCATGTGAATCCGAATCCACTGCCAAAACTTGTTATCAGACTCACTGCCTGATGGCAAATGGTTGTCTAACAGATGTCGTGGGTTAATACCTTCATGATGGCAGATGGCAACAGCATCTAAACAGGCACATATGAAGCAAATGAATCGCCGCTCAATTTCAATTGCTAACAAGTTATCACTGTTCAAGTAGTCTGCAATTGTTGATCTTTTGGGGAAGCCTGTTGCATTTTCTGGCATGAAGCTACAATAGATTACATATACACCTTTTTCAGACATTGTGATGAATGACTTTGACTTTCCAGAACCTGTGGTTTGAACTCCAGCAGTACCAGGAAAATAGTAATTATCCAGATCCCATGCTGCAGCATAGTCACAAAGCTTCTTATGCAAGTAGGTTATAACTCCTGATGGATCTCGATATTCTCTACGGAATGCATCTGCCAAAAACTGTGTTGAGAAGTTTTCTGCATGCATGATATCAGCACTTTTGGAACTTTGTGCTCCTTCTATTAAAGCATAAAGTAAAAGAGACAAAAACAAAGCAAAAAGTGCAAATTAGTGGACATCACACGCAATAGTAATAGTAGTATAGTTCCATAGCCACTCTATAACCACTGTTACTCCTACTCTACTTAACCCAAACATATAGTATCCTGCTTATTTGCCTTTCAAACGAATTTACATATAACTGAACCTTTGCTACGACTGCTCTATGTCCAACTCCAACACATGTTGCAATGCATTCTCTCCATATAACCTAACTCTGCTATAATTTGGCTCCACCATTTACTAAGCTCTATTCTATACTCCTCCCAATGTGTGTTTGTAATGCATTACTATTCTCTCTCCATTACTGCTCTATGAACCCATAATGTCTCTACAATCCAGCTCTGCCCCATTGCGCCCTGAAGGGTAACACCCAACTGCCTCTCTTGCAATATAGCACAAAACCAGTAACAGTATTCAAACTCTTCTCCCCCAATAAATGTGTGTCGCTTACCTTGTTTACCAAGCATTTCAAGAAATTCCGCATAGCAGTCCGTAGTCGTTCCGGGGTAGTTGCAATGATATTTGACGTAGAAGTCTTCATATTTGCTATATGCATCTCTGATCTCCTTGCCCGTTGCTTGTCCATAGTCCCGACCATATTTAGCACTAAAGTCCCATGAGTCCAGTGAGTAGTCCATGTCTAGATGTTTTTGGTATGTTTAAGATAGTGACAAAAAGAGTCGCGATCTGCGCCCGCCCAACTCAGCCCTGTTTATAGGTTTTACTTACACAAACATGTGATACTTCTCCGTATTGAAGCGCCGAATCAACCACAGTTACCAGGTCCAGCACACTTGGCGAAATAGATCGGTAACCCTCCATGCTTTCGTCAGAGACAAAGGGTAATGAAGACAAAGTGAAAATCTCTTTTATACGCTTCTTTGCATATCACGTAGAACAATGTTGTATTGTATCCCTGATGAATTATTATTATGTATAATCCGTGTTACGCCATCGGAAAATTTCAACTAACGTCATCTATTGCTATTGACCGAGAATGTGATGCCGATACATACTCAATCTCCTCCCAACTTAATTTCGATATTGACGATGCTGTAAATGTTCTTACCCTTATCTTTAAAACCGATATTAAAAAGAGCAAATATCTTCCTTGCCTTTTCAGTTCTCTTACGTAGAGTGTCGTTGGAAATGTTATCACCAATTTGTTTTCGCACTTCCCATTAACTAATGTTTTGGATGCTAAATCGCCATATTCTAAACTTTTAAGCGATAAAATATCCCCAAAGCAATAATAGCATCGAATAACTTCCCGGCTTGTACTTTCGTTTCGGGATTCTGCATGAGTAATATTCTTATTGAGTTGTAAAAAGTGTTTTTACTGTATACTTTTTCGCAGAGCGCTCTGCGCCTCCAGAAGTTTCGGAAGTCTCATTGGTCAATTCAGATATAAGTCTCTTCAGCGAGGGAGAGGCTTCTTTTTAATTCGCTTCTTCGCTTTCTTACCTTCGAGGGGTCTTTTGTTAGACTCTAAGTTAGCGCTTCCATTATTTGAGCGACTACGTTCGTCTGCTTCAGATATGGAAGTATTTTCACTTCGCGAGTCGTTCACATCCACCATATTTTCATCCGCGTTTCCTTGAGATACTATTGTGAGATGTTTTTCCATTCTACCGATTACTGATGCTGTACTCAAGTCAGAATCTTGCCTAGGCGGTAGCGCAAAAAATTCCTCAAGAATGTCAACGAGGTTATTACAGTTAGGATAAGGACAGGACATGATTCTTTTCGCGAAAGTAATAGTTCTTTCTCAACACAGATACGATAAACAATATGACCACACGATAAGATTGTGGCAGCTTTTATGGGGTGTAAAAAAATTTTATTACTGCATTTTGCACACTCGTCTGACTCTGGAACCTCTTACCATCAACAATACTATCTTCGAAAGTTTTGAAAATGTTATATTAATATGCAAGATTTTTCAGATTAGTGATGAAAGTAGGCGTAGCCATGTATAAGGATATAGCAAGAGTGAGACGCGTCGGAACTCCAAAGTTGACCGTCATGTAGTTTATGTTGTATAGTATCTATTTCATAATGCACAAAGTGCAGGGCTACGCCGATAAAAACTAATTCGAGCAAAAATCGGTATGAATATAATTGATTCATTTTCTCTGAATGCGCGCATTTGTTCTTTCATCTCGTACTAATACGGTAATTATGACGATTAGTGGATCTAAATTTATATCGGCGATCTTTAACAAATAAAAAATACACTCGCTACCAAAAGTATCGGCCGGGAATAAGAGCGTATGTTTGTTCTTTATTAAATCCTAATTTCTGGATTCGATTGATCCCGTGCTTTGGGGTCTTTCAATTTTTTGACTAATTCCTCGGGTTAGGTTGTATTGATTTACGAAATTTGTAGCAATTTTCGACATTGTGTTTATGGGATGGTTATGCAGACTATAACTATGACAAATATTATTTCAATTCAAAAATAATTATCAGTGAGCAGTTTTTTTACAGCAAAAATTCGAAATGCCGCGAGAAAAATTGGAACAATGAAGAGACAAGGTTGCCTTTGAATTTCGGGATAATATTAATTACTGGAAAAAAGAACGCGAGAGTAGGGACAAAGATGATTTCCTAAAATATAAGCGGGAATATGAAACCCGCCTTGGTATCCCCACTACTCCATGCAAAAAAGAATTACGTAAATTTTCTTTGATATCCATTGAATACGTATAATGGTCTTAATTCAAATAGAAAGTGTAAATCAGGTAAATTTGGTAAAAACGTGCGACGAAAGTCGCTTTGCTTCGCAGCCGTACGGCATAAAAAACGTGCCGATTGCTGTCCCTTTCACATTAAGAAATTTTATATTTGTCTTTATTATACTTGAGTGGTACCTCAGTTCGGAACCTGTCTCAGTTCTGGACTGAGATGACTGAGTTCTAGACTGAGATGGTCCCGAACCGATGTACAACATCGTCACTCGAAAGACGACACAAATGCAACCTTATCGTCACTTAGCCAAATAACAAAATTTTTTTTCAATTATCTCCACAGCAAGCCAACCCCTGCAAATGCAAACTCGTCACCACTTAAAATGACGACGCAATCGCAAACTTGTTGTCATCGAATGACGACAAACTCATCATCTTGGGACGGTTATAGTCTCTTAATATTAACAAAATTTAACCGATTTAGGTGCTAATTCCATCAAAAATATTCCTATTTTAACCAATTTAAGTGCTAATTCCCATTGGGGTGGTTATAGTCCAGACTAAGTGGGATATTTATAGACTATAAATATCCCACTTCAGTTATCAAGAGTTTGCAACAAGAACCATTACACGAAGTATTAAACTTTTGATTTGCCTAATGCTTGTCACAGCAAGTTAGAGCAATTAGAGAAAGACCATGTCTAAAAATGTGGAATTACAAGCTGAATTAAAAGCCAAGATTAAACCCAGTATTAAAGCCAGTGATCTAAAGAAAAAAACTAAGATGCCAACTAATAATGATTGAGAGTTATGGTTCTGGATGACATGTGGCAATGATGAAGACCTAAGTTTATGGGGCATACACATAGCTTTCTATCAAGGTATCAAAGCATCATGCTTTGTGCATACATTCAAAAAGCAGCAGCTCAAGATCCAGCAGGAGGTTAGCACATGAATATTTTTCAGATTTCTGGTTCAAACAATATGCTCCAGTCAGATCCATAAATTTTCAATGTTCTGGAAGTAGACCCTCATAGAGCAGGTTTGCATTGCCTGAGGTGAAATCATATACCACATGTATGGGAATTACATGGGAATATTGATCTCCAAAATATCCATTTCAACCAGATGGTTTCCGAGTGGACAGAGATGAATCATTAAGACCTCACAGGAATTGTTGTGGGAATTGTAAAGTTGGCTATAGCTATTCTAAAATCTAAATGGTCCATAGCTATTGTCACTAAATCTGACATACTAATACTAATAATATTAATCATAAATCGCTATTTAAATGTTATTGTTAAATTCGTTGTATAACAACATCAATGTTTCTTTGAAGCCATGCAAGGTACTTGCCTTTTTGGGTATTTTCTGTGCAATCATTTATCCAACAAAAAGGATAAATATGCCTTGTTGTGCTCTCTATGTCATAATCAATTGATTCCAATTTGAGACCCAACGTCTGGAGAAGTTGTTCATAATCGCCCTTGGAGACTCTCGAGATGGAGACTGTATGCCTCTGGCTCTCCTGCAAAGCTAGAAGCAATTGGGCATCAGACTGGAGAATAATAGTGTCAAGACAGTCTCGTACATAGTACATACCTTTTCGATCGTTGTTTTTACTTCCTCCATCAGTGTTTCTTTGAATGTTGAAGTCAGACTTTCAGCTTCCTCAGCTGCCATACAGGAAGCACAAGCAGCCCAATAAATAGAAAACTAGTTAGCAACTTTATCAAAATAAAATTGTGAAAAGTTACATTACAACCCATACTACTACGTCTACTCTAATCTATGTACACACGTATACCTGCTCTACGTCCCCAACACCCGATTCACAAAGTCGTTACCTAGAGTTTTCTCATGCCTGCTAGCATGATGACTAGTTATCTTATTCAAGTCAGCTGAGGCAAATTCTCCACAGTACAGCCAGCTTCGAGGCATTTTTCACGCCGGGTTCCATCACAGTCTTCATTTTGGTCAGTTCAAAGGATGTCTCGCGCGATGTAATCTGTGGCTTAATCAATGACGTATTATTAGGAACTTTCTACAATGTAACTCCAAATTGAACCAGAATTAATGGAAAAACTTCGTGCGTGTTTGTCTAATGATCATGATGAACAAACGGATATTTTATTACTGGTTAACAACGCAATAAATATTGTTTACAACTTCCACCAATAACACTACATAAATGCTTACGTTCACAAGCGAATTCCTTTTTGGGCTTCGTTCTTGGTCTGTTGCTAAATGGCATACTTTGTAATGATCGGCTTAATAATACGGGAGCCTTAATTCAAACAATGAAGCTACAATCCATAACAAAACTGTCGGCAGTGAACAAAATTTACTCGCCAGAAATCGAAACGTTGTGGAACGACCTAATACGATTATACAACAAAAGAATTAAAATTTTTATTTAACAAAATGGCGTTTGAATTCATAAGAAAAGCCATTGCTGCATCTACAATAAGAAATTTTTATCTTCGAAGAACAACTCCAAATTTCGAGTTTTGTTATACTGATCATATAACAGTAACCCAAGTTTAAATGCTTATAACTTTTCATACAGACTATATTTAAAAATCTGACCGGTAACTTTGTAGACCTTATCATGAAGAAGGAAGTTCCCGGTCAGTTTTTAATAACATAAATTTTTGGGGGAGTTGAAAGGTTTTAAAATCATACCATTTTATTGTCGAGTTATGACTTCCGGCACCATATTAGTCTCCATCTAATTATACAGAATGTGAGTCAATTGTTAATAAAACAGCAAGTGACTTGATGGAAATTATTAGATATGAATGGATGTATTAGCATGTTTGCTGTCATCCCATTGATTTATTTCTATCACCAGTCTTATATAGGAAAGGCCACTACTACTGGTATTATTGTTCTCAAATAGTTAACAACTAAATGAAAATTACAACACTTCTAATCTAATCGCTACTATTAATCCCATTAATTTTGTTAATACATATAACATCGCAGTTTCTTCATACGGACAAGGACGAATAAGACATCTTTAAACAAATGACTCTTGTGAGCAAATAAACAAGAACAATATGATCCTCGACGAAGTGAAAAGGTCATAAATAGGAAACTATGACGTAACGGCATGAATGGTCTGGTCATTAATGTATTAATGCTGTATTAAGTCGACCACTAGAAAGACTTACCGGGGTGCATTCGGATTATCGTTAATGCGATGACTTACTATAAATAGGGTGTCATCTATAGAGAATATCTCTTAATTTCCCCACGAACCAAAATTTTGTGTCGACGGCCTTCATCTTGTACTTACTGTTAAACCTTCCTATATTTATAATTGTCACAAGAACCAGCACATAGGCTTCCGTATAATTACTTTTGAAATAACTGCCACTATTGGAACGGATTGAAAGCCGCAGCTTTTTTTGATCGACAGAAGCTATACCATACTAACGCTAATTGAATCACAATGGCGCTTCGTCCAACTATTGGGGATAATAATAATAACGACTTAATTCAGGTTTGAGGGGCTTTCGACTTATTGGTTGGCAAATTCATTATAGAGACAATAACTTCGGTTATGATGGTTTGTTCATTCACAATCGTTCACAATGAAAGAAGTAGCAGACGCAAATTTTCCAAAGACTTCAGAAGGAAGGGTTTATCATGTTGGAGTCAAGAGAGGAGAAGGTAGGAAGAACGTCATAATATCTATTGCTCGTAATAGCGTTACTAACTCTGCGTGGTGACCAGAGCTACTTTTTTTGGTCGTTACTATCATTCACATTAGCTATATTAACTTGGTCAATTTATTTTACATAAAAAAAGTTGCCAATAGAATTATAACAGTTGGCGATCATAGCAGAGCAAAGGTTCTAGCTGAACTTCTTGATCAGGCTCCGAGTCCATACGTCGTGCAGTCAGAAAGAAATTTTCTTACCATTACCGGAAGATACAAAGGAGTGCCAGTGAGCATAGTAGCGATTGGAATGGTGAGTAATACTCTAAACTAATCAAACAAGAATAGTGAGCAGTCTACCAACTACCGTTTGTTCTTTGCCGATTCGACATAACATTATCCTAGGGTTTTGCGATGGTAGACTTCTTTGTTAGAGAAGTTAGAGCAGTAGTAGATGGCGAATTGGCAATTATCAGGATGGGTTCATGCGGAACAATAGGATCAGCAGAAACTGGATCGATGGTAGTTCCCGATGGCGCATTTGTAGTTACTAAAAACTATGATTATGCTGAGGATGGTGAAGATGATTCGACGAGGTCTCGATACAACTTGTCAAAGGTGTACCATGCCGATGATCAACTGCATAAACAGGTGTATATACTATATGAGTAAGAGTAAATTCATTCTATATATTTACTAATAGGGCTTACGTTTAAATCTTTTATTTCTACTTCGCAGCTCAAATCGGAGATCTATAAACGATTTCCCCAACCTGAAGTCTACGTCGGTCTAGACGCTTCATGCGATAGCTTCTATTCTTCACAGGGACGAACGGACGTCAACTTTGATGACTACAACTCATCCGTAATCTCTTACATTACAACTGTCTACCCACGTACACAGACAATGGAAATGGAGACGGCGATCCTGTATCGAATGGCAGGAGCTAGTAATAATCATCCACTCAAAGATAAGAGCAAGAAACACAGTATCAAGGTCGCAGCTGCTATGATGGTATATGCCAATAGGAAGAACAACGACTTTGTTTCTCCCGACAGAGTGAAGTTTTTGGAAAAACAGGCTGGGGAGGCTGTACTTGAAGCCATCGTTAAGATCAACTTGGATGAACTGCATAGTGAGAAGGGTAGTGTTTGGAGCAAACTATAGTTTTTGGAACATAACAAATGGCACAGGAAAGAATGTCACCGCTGAAGATCCAATACGCACATGGTTGGTTAAATAGAATGGATAAGTTTTATCTACCAATATTCATTAATCGTAGCTGCGTTGCATTATACATTACTGAGCCTACAAAGTACATGTTTTTCTACGAGTTGCATTACAGATAAAAATGATTTGGATTATTGTTATTTGTCTTGCGACGTCCCTATTTACAGTGACCAATAATAAATAATAAATAATAACCTTAATTATACCAATGGCGATCAATTTGTAGCGATATTGTCAGTGACTTAATAATGCAAGCCTTTTCTATTAATGTTTGGCTGGCAGAGCCATTTATTTTCTCTCATAGTGTGTTAGATAAACAATTAGTTATTACAAATGTTGTAAAACCAAAAATAGTAATAGTAATAGTAAACCACTGCATGGACGGTTAGACCCAAAAAAAGAATCCGTTAATGAAGTCAGAAAACTTCAAGTAGGCCATCAGAATGTATAAACAAGAACAGGTTTGAAGCTGGTAATTGACATTCTTACCATGCAAAACTTGGGATCAGTCCTGTATGCAGCATGGGCACTTATCGTGTAAGCGGTGAATCAGAGTATACGGTGTTTAATCCGGAGATTGACACCTAGAAACACCACCGTGGAGTTGATGTAAAGCAAGTATTTTCTCCTGCAACTACAGTGCCCATGCGCCTAAGAGTATCAATCACTGGTCTTACGGATCAACTATTTATTTCGCGTCTGATTCAAACTCTATTGGTCAACTTTTGATGAAACACAAGATTGACAAATAAAAATTAAACTAGTAACGCGCAACGAAGTCCGTCATTACATTCACCGTAGCCCGTAAAAGCAAGCGATAAACTTTATCCGAAGGTGGACTGTTCTATTGTCGTCTTTCTAATTCACATACTTACTTCAGCTGTAAATCAATAGAAACATACTTGAGTAGATTCAGTTAGTCGAATGAAGCAGATGCGATCCTCTTTTTCGATGTCACAACTTACATAGAAACTCGTCTAGAAACAAAAAGTAAATACTACTTACGATCGATATCAATCTTAACACTGTTAATCCACTAGTCATCGCCGCAGGAATACCAGCTGCACAACTCCCGCCATTCATTAGGTGGATTGATACAATTTTACTTAAAATACAAGCTCTTTATTCGAGTATATCAAATTCCCCCAAAATCTAGATGACTATTATAAAACATAGCATACACATAATGATAAATCTACAAAACAAAGATGAATAAAATAAAACAGAATAAAAATTAACGAGTAACATCCAGAAGTCAACGAATAACAATAACTTATTCCACGGAGTTATTTGAAGAAAGCTAATAGCCATTCAATACACAAGGCCAACAAGAAACGTAACCCACGAGGCAATTATTTCACAGAAAGCCGATACCATGTAATAGCATTGATATGTCTTTTTTTTTTTCGCTGGACGTTAAATTCAAAGATGGGGTAACAAGTTGAATAGTCATTGTCAAATCCATTATAAGTTATAATTGCTGTCAAAAAAGAATATTACAAAACAAACCATTTTCTATTTCTTATCTTATCATGTTCGCTTATTCGCTTTTTACATTAAACCTGCAAATACAAATGCAGAATTCAGTTAAAAAAAAGAAAATACTTTACTGTACTTCGAATCAGAACAACACTTTGTCGCATCAATTATAATTTAAAATAACTCACAACTCTTTCCTTCCCCTTACTCTTCAATATGACGCTACTTTCAATGGATCCTCGTCGAATCTCTGGGGATATCAGATTTTCATGTCGTTTTTCAGTCTGACAGACAGAACACTTCGTCTCTAATTCACTATTCTCTGCATCACTGTTAGAATCGCTCTCGAGACATCTGCGGTGGTACCCGTGGCCACATCGGTATAACACCAGATCGTTCTCGTTCAGCAGAGAAGAGGAAGAAGAGGAAGGTCTATTCGTATCTGTATCCGTTTTCGCATTCGCATTCGGTTTCGATGAGCCTTCTTCCGACTGAAGAGTCTCTTCCAGAGCCGCCAGATTCGGGATGACATCTGCAGAATTGTCATTGTTTGATATAGTGGATGAATGGGGCGTTCGCTTTGTGTCTGAATTCCAATTTGTTGACGTGCAGGGGGCTGTCGGGGTCAGATCTGTACCCCAGAATTGACCCCCACATACTTCACAAGTCCCCCTGCGAGGACGCCATCCTTTACCACGCTGTCGAACAACACCTGCTACACCCCCGAACAAGTCCTTTTCAAACAGTCGGTTGGTCATAGCCAGTAACTGACCTTCATATTTGTACGTATCAATCATGCCAACGAAAATATCACGGAAATCCGCCACTGTACTGTTCCTCTTGGATTGAGATTGGATAAAGCGAAGTAGTAATCTCGGCAAAGACACGTATGGGGAAGACGTGGATAGTAATAAAGAACGCATAATCAGTTGTACATAAGATTTGAATGTCGTTATTAGATGATTAGCAATGTGGGCTGGCACGGGTAGTATGGGCCTGACAACGGCTGCAGGAGAATCGAGCGTATCCTTATTGGCAGGTAATACAGCTGGAAATTGAGTTGTTAATATTGACGATATAGCCTTGGTTGCATCTAAGAACGTATCCAGAAGTTTAAACCAGAGCAATTCGGTTTCACTCTCGGTTGCTCTATTAGGAATTGATGGAGCTTTAGTGTCAGTAGTATTCACAGCTGCAGTAGCACGACGACAGCTGTTTTCACATAATTGAATACCAATCTTCAGGACTCCTTTTAACTTCATCAAATTGGTCTCAACGCGTTGTCTTTCAGACAGCGACCACGCATCACTATCTGATTTTTTCTTCTCTTCGATTAGTGCAATGATGTCTTGTCGTCTTTCTTGCACTATTTCTAATACTTTATCAAGAGCACCCGAGGCATTACCACTTCTCTCCAGTATCCATACTATAGCGTCAACAATCCCAGTGGCATCACATATTGGAAGCACTTTCTCCAAACGATATGCTCCGTCTTGATGAGTTTGTAAATAATTATAAACGCCAGTTGGATCGAATTTACACATAAGAGCAATATACTGTTCATGAACTTCGGGTTTGACGACTGGCAGGTAAGGCTGTGCCTCGGCAAGTGTGATTTGTTCTTCTATATGAATAGGTGATTCGTGTTCGTGTTCTGGTTCGAGAAGTCCTCGTAGATATGTAAATAGACGAACAGGAGTTGATTCTAGCTTCTTTATAACAGTTTCATGTTCTCCGTTAAAGTATGTTTGTATTAATCGGGCAGTTTGTTCGCCATCTATGTCGACTATATCTTCAATCATCGACATGACGGTTGTCGATACTTCTTTTTTTTGTTCATCTTTCAGCTTACTCTGCGGATCCAGTAATAGTCGAATACAATTAAACAGTTCTTGACGTCTTTCTGGATCCTTAAGATAAGTAGTGACGAGGAGACCATACTTCTGATATGCTTTATATACGTGTTCTAACACTCTCCAGAATCCAGCATTTTCATATAATTCAACCATTTGATCCTCATCAGTCGGAGTATATATAGACAGGAGACACTCAACAGCCAATTGTCGTTCCTCTCTAGTACGTGGATCAGTATCTGTGCTCAATGTCACTAGTATATTGTGTATAGCGGGTGTCGGAAGTGATAAGAATTGCGGATATTTAGGAAGACTACGGGCGACGAAACTGTGCAAATATGAAATGTCCAATGGAGTGAATTCCGAATGACCATTATTCGATGTCATGACTTCAAGTAAAATATTAACAAGTAATTGCCGGTTTATGATTATTCCAGGCATTTCCTCTTCATCGTAAAACTCTTCTCCATTCGTAATGATTTCAACTCCATTCAAATATGAATCTTCAAAAGCAGCTTCTAGTGCCCTTAAGAAGGCTTTCGTGTCAAATCGAAGGAATAGACGTAGATATGGATATGTTGGTTCAGCTCCACGCTTTTCGTCTTCAGCAGTCAATACTAGATCACCGCCGTGATGAGGCCATACAACACATCTGCCCGAAAATACAAACGAGTAGAGAGTAGTGCGGGCCTCGTTCGCCTCGTCTTCGTTCAATGGTGCTTTGTTTGGATAAGTTCGTCCGGTGAGAATGTTTTCTAGATAAACGTAGAACTTGCAAGCATTGGACTTCATTGTCTCCAAATCCTCGCTGCCGTCCCCATCATCTACATTCGAGATCTCATCATTAGCGTATTTGTTTTTCTTACGTCTGTGCTTTTCCAGTATTAAAATCTTTCGAATAACATCAAGCAGTTGTACAGCCGGGCTGACATAATCGACCATAGATCTGTTCCATACATATATCAACGCGTCATACAAATTTTCGCTTTGACACAGTTGAACTACCTGATCGATATCCAGACATTGCGGATTAATATGCCATATACATCGCTCCACAATATCCAACATATTTCGATTACGGTAATGAGTTACGAGATCTTTCATTATGGATGGAGGTAGATCTTTTATCTTGTCTTTAATGATGTATGGTCCCAATACCTCCAGAAATACTCCTTTGACCAATGCCTGTTCGTATTTTTCGTATATATCGGCGAATAAGAAGTCTTTTATGTTCATACTTAGACATGCTTCGATACATGCGACTGCCAAATCACGAAAGAGAGTAGTACCATCTCCGCTGTGCTCGTCCGCCATGCCATCGTACGTGCGTTCATCCGAGAATGTGAAGGTGAGGGAGGCAGTAAGTAATTCCATCAACCTTTTCCCTACTATTGCATGCCTATTCTCTTCATCATCCGGTAGCCCAAGAATCGTCTGTGATGGAGTGCCATTGTAGAAAAAGGTAGCTAAGGAAATTGCTTCTACCAAGTCTCCTGACTGTACAAGGGCTAATATACGATCAGTCCATGATAACAGCGCCCCAACGTAAAATTCCCTTACACCCTGTATACATGCAAGTAATTCAATAACGTTGTAATCAGAAAAAGATACATAACACCAATCCACCAAGCATTATAGAAACAGTCTTATTCACATACGAGCAAGAATACCAGCCCCTTATAAACGCGTAAGCTATGATAATAAGCTAGCTCAACAGCGGGTTTGTGAGCGTCGTGTGGGTGAACCGACGTTTCCTTGAGTGAGGCAGAGAAACGGTCGTGATATACCAACGATTTTAACTTAACATCCGACTTGACGTCTGATTTTTCACTCTCTTGCATATATCTTGGATCAAAGACGATAATCTCTTCGTTGCTCAATAAGATTAATAAAATCTAATTATGTAAATTCGTAAATTAGAACTAATAACAATCATTTCAAGTAAATTCAATCAATCCAACTCACGTGGTGAGATAGCCACTGCAATCCAACAATAGCGTGTCTCCCCTTCCATTCTGCAACTCTTACAAACTCCAAACGAATATCTTTTTCGGGACGTCTTCTTTTCGAGGAATTTTCGGGCAGAACTGTTGGGGCGACGGTTACTTTCAATATAGATAAATAACTGCCCCAAGAGAAGGCAAGAAGAGGGTCAGTATCGATGAATGGTGAATCAGGATTCAACCTGGTTTTGACAGCTGGGAACCATGCTAGACAGCCCGATAGTGATTTAGGTCCGTGCGAGTCCGAGACCGTGTGTTTGGGCCTCGGACATTTATACTGCGTTTGAACTGTCGGTTTTATACTAACTATGATCATCTATGAATAGGAAGATGATAGTTGTGTATATGATAATTGATAATAATATTAATATCATTTGTTAACAACATTTATGTTACAGCCCTAATCATTTATCGTATACCTTAAATGGGGTCAACATAGCAACTAGTCCAAATGCTTCTGATCCATGAGGTGATTGTCCCAGTGGTAATGGAGCCAAACCAAATACAGTGCTGGGTCGTTTCGGCGCTAACTTACTGTCCGGCCCTGACGTTGGTGGAGGATATCGCCCAAGAATACGAATTGTCTCTGTTGCATTTACCATCATCACCTTGTACAAATTATGATAGAAAGCCATACCCTAATCGTGACAAGTAATTAAACAATCAACTCGAATTAGTCACCAATCGTCACCCCGTTCGTCTATTCCACAATAATTTGTTGCTCAATTGTTTTTCTTTTATAAAAAAAGAAAGAAAGAAAAAAAGAAACACGTACACGATCATCTCCCGAGACAATGCCATTCTTCTTCACCCCAACGAACCCAACATGTAAAATGGCCGACCCACGTATATGGCCTTCCTTACGACCACCGGCAGCAACAGCAGAAGAAATGGGCATGATGGTGCGAGCAGGATTGTTAGGACGAGCAATATCCCAAATTATAATATGACCTTGAGCGTGGCCACATATAATTTGAGCGCGGTCGGAGGAGATTGCGAGTGATGTGACTGCTCCATATTCGATGGCTGTTAGGGAAAGCGAAGGATGAGAAATAGAGGCGTATGTTAGATTCGACAGTAATGGATGACAAAGCCTTTCAGGCTACAACAAATTCTATACGTTACCATTTACAGTGTTACCAAGTACGCATCTGAGGTTCTGATTGTAGTTATAGACAAGGACCAATCCACGCGTTGTGCCAATGGCAATGAACTCACTCACCTGGAGGTGACGTAAAAATGCACATAGATTCATGTCATATTGTTATAGTAGCTCTATTTTTCTCAATAGTAACTCCTCCGAATTAATTACTATATAAGAATTCTGCCTAAAACCTCGATCCAAAAACACTAATATACTCACTGCTGATACGGTGGGCAGCCCATTGTTCTGACTCGTTTCCGTTGAATACAAATGACTTGACAGCGTCGTTAATGGGGCCCATCGGAATGCTTGTCCTGGTTCCAACTCTGACGTAGCAGATAATCCTATCTCTTCAAGTACAAGCAATGGCGGAGACGACGATCGTGAGTATCTGGATGATGTACGGGATGGCGTAAGAGAGGTAGTAGATGAGGCGGAGCGAATTTTGAGGAGGCTTGGGTCCGATGCCCGAAGAGACAATGGAGACATTGACGTCATTGAAGTGCTGATTGTCTTGCGTGATGTGTCTGAGAGTGTGTCCTTCACAGGGGAATATTATTCGAGTTTTTGCAAGTCAAACAAAGTAATGACAAATGGAAACATTGCGTATAGTAATCCATATGAGACTTTACCTCGAATACATGTATCTCGGATTCAGTATCCAATTCTGAATCTTGAAGCTCATCATCACTCGAATTTTCAGATTCATTCAATATTCTATCAAGATTCAAGTATTGGGCTGTCCCGACAAGGATAGACAATCCAAAATCAATATACGGATCAAAGTACCAAAAACAATAACGCTTTCCAATCGCGTCTTCTCACTCCCAGCTTAATCTGCCTACCTCTGTTAACAAACTCTTCATACAGAGCAGTCTCCCCCATAACTTTCTCTAATAACTCCTGCACCTTTTTCCTTCGTTGACTGCCCAATGTCAATGGATTAGCCAGCGGGCCTCCTTGTAGATGTATCTGCAAATCTTCTTGTAATTTATAGATTTTAGCAAGTACTGCTTTAATCGTACTTTCGGGAGTTGTAGGGAGATCCAGCTCCTGTATGCGAAGATCATTGAAATCTTTTTCGATGTCGACTAGGGATTTTACACCATTAACTAAAATGGATAAGATGTTGGCGAGTGGAGATAAAATGTGTTAGTTGATCCTTACGTTGGCTACTTCGAATATTACGACTAAACAATTACTCACCTAGTCGGGATATCGAACCCTCTGCTATCTTCGGTTGAGGTTGAGACTCTTGGATTTCAGTTGTTGGCGTTGATGGCTCATCATGACTGCATACATAAGCGTAACGACGAATCTGTAATCACTACTTGTCCAATCGCAATCCGATGCGCCTAAAATGCTAGGTCATGAAAGATCTGTACTAACCTTCCGTCAGTATCATCGTCGTCTTCACCTGCTTTACCACTGCTTAGTCCGTCCTCGTTTAACAGCTCCATCGCCCTCTGCATAGCGTCGGTCAAACCGGTGGCTTTCCATGCCTCAATTCGCTTTTTTAAGTTACTTATATATTGTGCCGCTTGTATATCGTCTTCAAGTGCTGCTTCTAATTCTGGAGGAAATGCCTGTGTCTGAGAATTTCCATTCCCAGGTAGCTGCACCGATGGAAAGTCTTTCAGGAAGTCATCGTCGATGTCTGACTCTATTATCTTGTTTAATATTGTATATGTGTCAGTCTCAACCTTCGTAGGCGTCATTAGGCACTAACAGATGGCACAAATTATTCTGACTATTAAGTGATAATCGGTGCCTTTGCTTGTGTAAAGCTCGAAAGGATGAGAAGGGAAGATAGAGGCTGAGTTTAAGTTGGTTTATATTGCGGTTTCTAAGTTTAAGAAATTTCAATAACAATATCTTTACTATAAATTACAGAGGTGAACGCCCGAAACCTCAAAAAGGGGAGACGCAGGCCGAAGTGCTCGGTAAGTGCTACGTATTTAGAGATCTATGATTGGATGGTTTCGTATTCTCAGTAGGTTTAGGATGGGTATGTCGGTGAAATGTTGATTACTTAACAGCCCATATATGACGCATTTGGAAATAGCGTTTCGATTGCACTGGCGTAGAAAACACGTGATACTGACTTTGACATTGTTTTGTTTACTCGTTGTGGCTAACACGGTCAAATACTAAACAGCATTCATATATGAAACTGGCACTAATATTGACGGCTACATTCATATTCATAAATGCATTTAGTTCTGAACAATCGATCCATAAATGCAATTGAGTGGAGTGCATATGCAGGGTGCTCACAGCGAAACATGGTCGACCATCCCTAGTACTACACAGTATGTGATGAAGTAATCCACCAATCGAATGGATGTTTCCTCTTCAGAAACATATCCACGAGACTAAGGTTCGATTTTATGGCAACAACGTTTCGACTCTGTGATAGACATGACATCAAGCTGTTTGATTCGCTCGCTTGCTATCACATGAATCCATAACACAATGTTGGTGCAACGGTATTGTAATGAAATAAGATTCTTTGTGTAGTCTTTATACAATTGCGATATACAACTTTATCCCATTACGTTTGTAATCATAGAAATACTGTTTATCCACGTCTGATTATTATAATGTTCTTCTAAACATATATGAAATTCGATATTTTTTAAAGCCCTTTTCTGTTTTTCAATTGTTGGTCACATGATCTGCATAACATGTATCGTTTCATAAACATTGTACAGTGAACTCCATACATGCACACTATGGCTCGGGAATTAGGAATTGATGCACACCCTCCATATTCTGCATCGCATGGTTTTTTCGTTTCCCACTATTTACTATATGTACATGCACGCCCGTGATTTTCATGTGATTTGTACAACATGTATGTTACATAGTGATTTGAAATGGTCAAAGTTATGACGATCAGTCTATACAAAGACAGTGCAATAGATATATTAATATTAATATTCTTCCAGCTAATGTTAGTGCTAAACCAAGTGAGCTTCCTTGCAACGATTTAGTGAGCTTGCACAAATTGTTACAGATCCTAACTGATAGCATGAGTCTTAATGAATTCTTGAATCTAGAAGAAGAAACAGTTTATGAAGTACCTGATAATGACAAATTTATTGAAAACCTTGTTGAAAACCATCAGGTGTGCATGTTGTTAATGATAGTGTTGACTTACCAGCAATGCTGCAAGGTTGTTCATTCTTTCCTGTACCTGCAACAGCAATCATTACATTAATTCAAAATCAATAAATGTGATGAAAACAAACGACAATAGACGAGTTTTTTAATCAGCAGCAATAATATCGTATTTCACCTACATGTTCATTTAGTACCCAGGGTACTCATGTAATCGTAGTGATAGTGGGTACATATCTCAATTTGTTTTTCTAAAATTCTATTGGCTGCCGATAAATTCGTGATTCCAGATTTCCTAGAATTAACGCATTAGATAAATACTGTATAGTAAGGAAGAACTTCGAATTAACATTAACATTCGATTGTGATCACAAGTAACCTTTTTTATGTCTCCGGTATCTCATGTCTTGAATTAGTATTGCTAACTGAGAATGTGACGGGCGAAAATGATGAAGTAATAAGTTTCAATAATATTGACGGTGAACGTTTTTATCAAATAAAGTTTGTGCATCTTATAGTGTTAAATTTTAATTCGCAGATTTTATTGGCAGGTTAGAAGAGGATACAAGTCACAGGGGGGTATATATGTCGGAGAAATACGGTATTTATATAAAATTTTGTTAACAGTCAACGTGTAACCAATAAAATGCTGACCCTCTATTAATGTATCCCTCTATTCTGATGCATTCCCAAGGGTGTACTTGAATAGATGGTTTACTGTACTAATACCTTTATAAAACAAGACACAAAAAATTCTTATATAAAACAGCTTCCAAAAAAGAGCTTTAAAAAATATAAGTTTTAATAGTAAATTTTGTAGATCCGGCAACAATTTTGATAGGTGGAATTTGGTGACAACTTATCCTTGATAATCCAATCAGATTGTGCTACTTTTTACTTATAACCATTATCGCAAAATTAAAAAATGCCACTTTTAAGACAAAGAAAGTAGGATTATTCAGTATCTGTTGCCATAATTATAAAAAACTTATCTGTTGGCTTAAAGCATATTAATATTAGTTGATGTAAATTTATTTTTCTCTCACAAAGTTGTAATCAGTCACCTGGAAGAGAGTTTGTGTTCAAATTTAACCGGGAATATTTTCAAAGCCTACACGCCCGCGTCAGTAGTAGCTAATTTTTGAAGATAGCTCTTATACATTCTGTTGCCAAGTACAAACTTTAATTCAAATGTTGTACTAAACTATTTAAATAATTAAAAATGTGCACTGATAATTGACCTATTTTTTCCTGGCTAGTTTAATACCCCAGCTTCTCCTTAATCTATGGCTAGATGCCCCTAATCAATAGATGCTTCTACGCGTGCAAGATAAACTTAGTAGACTATGTAAATGGAAACTGTTAAAAAAGTTCATCGCGAAAAAGAAAGAATACTAGCGTATTATTGTTCACGTGTTATTAAAAAAATGTGATAGAACCAAATATAAAGATGACGTACGGGGGGAGGGGGGACAAAAGTATTGCACACTTTTATATTTAAGATATTGAAAAAAGTTTTCTTATAAAATCCAAAAGAAATTTTATTTACTTAAAGTAAGCATCAATATTTAGTATTTCCTCCATTTGCAGCAATCACAGTTGAATTCGATTGGGCATAGATAGTACTAAATTTTTTGCGGAAGCTGCATTTCACACTTCTTTTACCGCCTTCTCAAGTTCATGAACGTTTGAAGGCTAAGGATTGCGTTTTCGCAGCGCTACCTCAACTGCAGCCCAAAGGGTTGAGATCAGGACTTTGAGGAGGCCACTTAAGCACCTCTACGTTTGGGAAAAAAGAAAGTTTCGTGCAACCTTTGCGGTGTTTGGGCATTGTCCTCCTGGAAAATAAACTTTGGCGGACAAATGTTTTGAGTGTGGGAACGGCATATTCTTCAAGTATACCTTTATAGCCAGTTATCAAACCTTGAAGAGAAACAATAGGACCCAGTTTTAAATAAGAAAAACATGCCCAAACCATTTTTTGGGGTGAATGCTTCACTGTTGATGCGATACAATTTTCACCATATTTTTCTCCCGGTTCTCGCCATACCCGGCCCCACCCAGACTTTTGAAACTGAGAGAAAGTAGATTCATCCGACCATATGACTTTCGTCCAGTCTGCAACAGTCCAATTCCTTCTTTTCATTGCCCACTCAAATCGAATTTTTCAATTTTTTTCTGAAATGAGAGGCCTTTTTAACGGAATGCGAGTTTTTTTTCATGAAGTGCACGTTGAACTGTTTTATAGATATTTGTCGGTTTTTAGATTTAGAAATCTTTTTAGTAATTTCTCTCAGATTCTGTTGTCGTGATTTTTGTTCGCAGTAACAGCGGTTTTGAATTTTTGTCGATCCCGTTGATTGAGAATGCGCGGCCGACCTGATCATTTTTGTGGAGAATTTTTTGATTCGTGGGCTGCAAAAACCGTAGAACTGTCGTGCGATGACATCCTATCACTTTTGTAATCGCTGCATCACTGTGACCAAGTTTTTTGGCTGCAATTATAGCATCTTTTTGAGAATCAGTAAGTTCTTTGGCAAGACCCATATGCGCCAATGTAAAAAATTGGGGTTTTTAGTTAACTTATTTTGGAGTCATCGCAACACGTTTTATTAAATCAAAATAAAAACCCCATTTAGGTAAATGGTGCAGTAAGTGACACAAAAGTTAATTTTTTTATTACATATAAAAAATTTGTCGAACCAAGTAAATTAAAACTGTGCAATACCTTTGTCCCCCCCCCCCCTGTAGGCGGATGAAGGAAGGAAAGAAGGAAGGAATATTACAGGAGTCAGCGATCAGACCGCATACCGTAAAACAATAGAATGTCCTTCGCTACCAAATAAATAATCCTCAGTCAAAGACTATATTAAGGACGGTTAATTTCTACGCGTTTTTTAAGAAATTTTTCTTGCAATTGTTTGGCCGCTGTCTATTTGATAAGTTTGATTGATTCACTACTAATTATTCAATACGGGCAGACTGCAACAAAATCATTACATAAACTGGCGTGGTGAGAAATTGCTAATATAACTGATGACGCTTTTTGAAAGCTTTGTTTTAATATGGCTCATGCCTAAATTCATGGACTATTTTAATTGTATTTTTAGACCTACAGTCCCGGCGAAAAGAATGACGTGACAATCGTTTTTATTGGTTTTTATAAAAATACATTACAAAATTTGAGTACCTGTTATTAGTATTAGTAATATTAAACGTATTATTATGTTTCTTATTTACATAATACGTCAGACATGGTTAAAATTACTCTTGTCTTATATTGTATTTTAATAATGTCAGTTTGATTTGGATTGCCTATGAACTTATAATAACTGTCTCAAATCTACTACAAGATGTTTGCATTTTTAGATTTGTTAATTAAAATTCAAATATATATATATTTTGGTTTAGTTCGGTCCGTTAGTGTAAGATAGTTTTTGCATTCACTTCTTGTTAACTTACTCAAATTTTTACTCATAAAATTATGTCTAAATTAGTATGTATATATACAGTGACTCACAAAACTGGCTCAATATTTGAAAGAATTGAATGTACAAGCTTATAACTCAACAAATATCCAACCAATATAAACGAA